AAATATAATATTCATATTAAATAATATAGATTTTTGGCTAGTTCTTGCATAACACGGATCGCCACAGTAGTTGAATGAACCTCTCAGCTGTATACCAACAATAAAATCACAGATAAATTCACAATATTACTGATTTATTTAAGGAGAACTAGTGAGAACCATTGTGACTTTATGTCCTCAGTTTGTTACAAAGTCTGTTCACGTGACACTCGGAAAAACAACCCCAGGTCTAAATTAAACCACCTGACAGGTGTGATAGCACAGTCCCCTCAGTTCTAGTTAAACTTGGATCATTTCTGCCCAAACATAACCCAAAAGTCCAGATGACTAAACTCATATATCTTCATGTATGCGGCCTGTTAGGGATCTCTCAGCTTTAGAGCTGTCTTACATGCTCATGCCTTTTAATTGTGTACACTACTGTGTAAATCTTTAACTGAACCTCAGCTGAATTTGAAAAAGAAGGAATAACCTTGAACCTGCAGAAGTATCTCCGGCGTGCCACATACACCCACACGTATGACTTTTTGGTGCCTGACTTCATGAATCATGTTAAAATGATTCCTGCACCAGCGTCCGTCTCTATGATAACATCTACAGCAGAACCATCTGTGAATCAAAGTGTGCCAGCAATACTAAACAAAAATATATTACAAGACACGCAATAACCATTAACAACCAGAACAATAAAATAAGGACAGGAGCCACAGAAAAAAAAATCACATTACCACGGTGTAGCCACTCCGATGTGTGTGTTCCAGAACATTACCTCTAGAAATCTTCTTGACTTGTATAGAAAATTCATTTTTGTGTCCCATTAATGTTCTTTTGAAATAATAAATTGCTATTTCGACTCCTTAGCGACGCCTGCTGTTGCGTTCTGGACTCCTGCGGCTCCTCCTCTGTGCTCTCCTTTGACTTTTCACTGCAGCGCGGGAAAAAAACAAACAAAGACTTAGTATGAGAAATAACTTCTCAGTACGAGTCTATAAAGAGCATGCTCACCATCAGTGCATTTCACTTGGGGCTCCTCCCACTGTCCGTCTGGTTGACAGCGCACCAGCGGTAGATGGCGCTGTCTAAATCCTGGATTGCACTGATAACGAATGATGGAGCCGATGGGGTACACCACCCTCTTTTTGCCAAACATGCAAGCATTGGCCACCTCCGGCGGGGCACCACAGGACACTGAAGGTAGTACCAGAGGACATCGTATCAAACAATGTGTTTCCTGCAGTACGTATTTTAGGTAAAAAGCTAAAACATTGCTGCGTTAGTTAGCTCCGAGTCGAGTTTGTTTTTGCAGACCAAAAGCCAAAATCCAACACGTTTGTTTTGTTAGGGTTAGGACTCTTTCACAGAGCCCAGTATGAGTCACACTGTAGGACGCTTTAGCCAGTCTAATGCAAAAAGATAAACCTGCTCCACCTATGAAGGAGTCCAAACCACTGGACATATATTCTACCATTCAGATTTCTGCCTTGTATTGATAACCAGACCAAACAGACTAGACCAGACTTGAAGGTTTGATTCTCTACACCAGCAAGCAGAAGAACTGACACCACAAAAGAGCCAATCAGGAGAAAGTTCCAATTAATGGAGGGCGACCTTGAAGGACGTGGAGCTAACACTGCTAATTTTAATAAGTGCATAAACTGATTAAATGGTCAGTGCAAAATAAATAATGATTTCTAAAGCTACTTTAGAAAAGTCTAAGTATAAATATATAAATATAAATGTATACATTATACATGTATAACTATAAGAGGTCAGTTTTAAAGGTGACATTGTCAGGTGCTGTGAGTCTGCCAGTTAGTGGTGGAGCTCCAGAGGTTTTGCTGAGCCAGCCTACCTGAGCCTTTCTTGCAGGTGAAGGGCAGATGATAACTACAGGGTACATCATTCCACTGGCCGTCAGAATGCCAGATCATCACCACACAATCTTCTTCAGAGTTCACGTAGTTGTCCGGTTGGTTCGGCCTCCAGTTCTCGTATTGCTGAAGAGACGAGAGCGAACAGGTAAACCTCAGAGTGTAAACAGGACCACAACAGCT